GAGAGAGAGAGAGAGAGAGAGAGAGAGAGAGAGAGAGAGAGAGAGAGAGAGAGAGAGAGAGAGAGAGAGAGTTTCCCGCACATAATGCACCCTCATTTTGCCTGAATCGGACCCAAAAGGTAGCTTGTATACATTCGTTATCAAGAGTAAACATAACACACACTGATAACGGATGTATACAAGCTACCTTTTGGTCCGATCCAGGCAAAATGAGGGTGTGTCATGTTTGGGGGGGTGGAGAGAGAGAGAGAGAGAGAGAGAGAGAGAGAGAGAGAGAGAGAGAGAGAGAGATCTGATTGAATTGATTGGACCAATCCTAGCGGTCGGTCCAATCGATTCGGACCGATCCGGCCGGTCGGTCCGATCCACTCAATCAATCAACCTTTTTTCTTATTTTTAGTAAATGGACACTAAAAGAATAACAAAAACCAAAAAGTGAAGGAAAAAAAAAGTTTGCCCTGGCTGTAGGTGTAGCCCCCCATCATCCAGCATCCGACCCAAGACAAAGAAAAGAAAAAAAACTTTTCCCGGCAAAAAAAATTCATTGGGTGCTGGCGTACAACGAGGGAAGGTACATCATACGCTATGTATGTGCGCGCACGCTGCGTACATAGCGTCGCCCAACAAGGGAAGGTACATCATACGCTATGTATGTGCGCACACGCTGCGTACATGGCGTACATAGGGACACCTAGCCGGTGGCTTGAACTGGCCCACCTGACGCTATTGTCTTATGCAGGCCTGGCGATCTTCTGCAGCTAGGAGGTGGTCCCCGCCAGCTCCTGGGGTGACGCGTAGACCTGTGGTCCCTGCCGACGCCACCCCAAAGGCCGAAGGATTTCAATAAAAATGCCAGTATTGAATCTAATTCATAGTTTAAGTGTTATGCATTTATGTAATATTGAAGGCTATCCGATTCATAAGGCTGCTGATCTCACCCATGAAGTCGGGCTTACTTCACCCAGCTCGTGATTGCAGCCGGTTGTTGGTGTCTTCGGGGCAGGTGGCATTGGACTATGTCCTCTTCACTGCCCTAAGGCTATGGCATAGTTGGTTGCCGCGTCTTCATCACCGTGGTGCGAATTTTAGAGGGGGGGAGCCACTCAGAAAGTGAGTAGGACTGGTCCTACACATTTTCCAGAGGACCGACAGCTATTGCTGCCAGAACCATTACCTTTCAAAAGCGTAGGACCGGTCCTACCTTGGGATTGGAGGCCCAGAAAGGGGTTGAAAGTCTTGAAATGGTGGAATTTCTTAGACCGCTTGGTCTTGCCAATGCAGATCGCACAGTAGGTAACTAATAGGCGGTCGGACGGTTGTTGCAAAATGCTGAGTGTGCCTATTTTGACTGATGATGTTTCCAAAAGGAATTCAAAAAATAAAACCAAAATTTATTCCGGGCAAAAAAAAAATGCATCTTTTTCTCCCAACTGCTACCGGTAGGTCCCCTTCATTTTGACTCAAAATGGGCCAGGCTGGCAGGCTCAGCATTCACTGGCCTTTTTCACCTGATGATCTGGGAGTTTCGGATTGAACTTCTCCCTGTACTGATCATTAATGATGATTGATGATGATTGGATGACTGTTACCTAGCTATGATTAGAACATAGGACCAGCTCAGAACCCTACTTGTATCCAATCCCTCATTTCAGGTATCTGCGATCAACCCTGTCATATTCAAACCTAGCTATACCGTCGACTCAACTAGACCTAAACCCGGTCTCACGCTCCCAATCAGGCTAGGCTACAGGGCAGCGCAACCCTACCCAGCTCCAACCATCGTCGACCTGCCCGTAATCCCTGTGGTCAAGTCACTGGAATTCCTTCCACCCTCAGAAATTGCCAGAGCTCTCTTCAAGGCCTCAAGCCCCTGCATATGCAGGTTACAGGCCAATGCCCCAGCACCGGCCAGCGTTGGTCTGGCATACGCTAACCTGGACTTCTAAACATGCACAGCTAAATCTGAATAACCAAAGCAATATAGGTACCCAAAGTAGGACCGGTGGAGTTATTTATATATTTATATATATATATATAGGTACCCAAATTTCCGAATCAAACATCCGCAGAATTCCAAAACGATCGTGATGAATTATGAGCCGATATGAAGAATGATGATGGTGATGATGACCTCCCCCCCCCCTCTCCCCCTCTTCTTCATCTCCCCCTGCGGTGATGTTGCCTCCGCAGACGACTGCCTTGATCACGAGCACATCCTTCCTTTGGGTTAACGAAAGCATCCAGTCCCCGCGTACAGGATGCTTCTGTCGACCCCTTGCCTTAATCTGCCACCACTGGGGGTTGATGCGGCCCCATGCATCTCCCACATCCCCCCCAAAAAAAAGCATTCCACGAAATCTGCACCTACTCCCTTGAGGGCGTTCACCTCCCGCCTTTTGACGTACCTGCGGAGTAAAGCTCACTCCCATAGGACTTACCCCAGTCCTCGCCAGAAAGTATTCCTTACCACATGAGAGGAGAAGAAATAAAAGGACGATTTTTTTTTTTTTTTTTCCCTTCCCCCTTTCTTCCTTCTCTCCCCCTTTCCAGTGCTGCCTCCCCCAAGATAGATGGCTCTGATTACAAGCTATCTCTACCGGTCCCAGCATGTGACAGCCTGCTTCCACTCCTTATCCCACCAAGGCATCAAAATATGCCTCAGCCAGCCCTTTGCTCTTACCTGCCTCCGCTGGGTTAGATGCTGTCTGTACATCTCGCCCAGCCGCACATGTGAGTTCCCCACTGATCCACCCTTACTCCCTACGGGTCTTCCACCTCCCACCTTGCAAAAGTCCCTGCGGAGTAGAGCTCTCCACCTCAAAACCTACCTACTTACCTCGCTAAATACTTCATTGTCTCCCTTCGAGGGAAAAAAAAAAAAGAAAAAAAAAAAAAAGAAAGTAACAGTACAAAAGGAAAAACCAGGAAGCAGAATGAGAAGATACTCGTCGAGAAAACTATGGCATACACCTGCGTGATGACAAGATGATAGGCAGATGATGAAGTGGTTAATGATGATGATGATGATGGGCAATGCCCAAGTGAAAACGAAAGGGGAAATGCTCCGCTCACTGAGAAGAACGCATTAACGGGATGGTAAAAAAAAAGGAATCAGCATGTTGAAGGCGGCCGAAAAGCGCCATAGTGATCGTTTTGAAATGAGCCAAGTACTTGTCACACTCTACCTCCCATACGTCAATGATAATTCACATGGTTGCTCACACATGAGAAACCAAGTCGAGATACAACCACACTTGAAGATGCCGTCTCCAATTTTTATCATATGCAAGAATGTTTCTCCAACGGCTCTGCCACACACACACACACACACAGATCCCAGTCAGGTAGCGACTATGGCTTCTCCCCCTTGTCTCTCTTGTCGTGTTTCTTTCTCTGACTTGGCTCGCTCTGCCTCACTCTCTCTCTCTCTCTCTCTCTGTCATGCACTAACCCATATCGTCACCCTGGATACACCCACTCAGGAAGCTTACACCTTGGCGGCTATGGCCGCCATCCTCCTGCTCTACCGCTAGCCTAGTTGTGCAGTATCTCTCAAGCGCCCTCTTCTTCTTCAGGCACATAGTGCCAAGTTGCCTTAAAGCACAGGCAGCAGCAGCACCTCCACATCTCACAACTGAACAAGTGATGAGCCACT